CGCCGCCGAACTCGCAACATCTATGCAAGCGGACAGAAGGCGTCTACAAATATTCCAAAAATACTCCCGCACGTGCACCGTAGCTTGTATACACATAGGTACACCAAAAGGGGTAAAAGCAATCAAGAACCCGCATGGGCCCCGGCGAGCGTGTTATTGGTACACACATGACGTCTAGGGATGCTGCGCGGGTTATTGAATTTGAACCCGATCCTCCTAAACCGGTAAAAAGGAGTAGACACGATTTAATTACAAAATGCCCCAAATACCCGCATGGGCCCCGACGAGCGTGTTATTGATACACGTGACGTCTAGGGAAGCTGCGCAGGTCAATAAGTGAATTCAAGATCAAACCTGATCCTTCTATACGAGTCAATAGAAGTCGACAGGGTTCGAACCATCAAATAAATATGTGGCCGTGACGACCAGAATATTTGTTTCAATATATTCATATTAGGCCTTCAAAGCCTAAAATCAAAAGGATTCACTAATAAAGGCTCAAAGCTTACGAAACCCGATCCTCTGTTGACAGTTCAACAGAGTTGACAAGGTTCATCCTTGAAATGAAAATATCTACAAATGAAAATGATCCCACACCCCGATGATGGCCGTGTTGAATGCAGATCTCAACCGGAGGGGTTCCCAGATATGTTTTTAAATGTCTCCCAAATATCTAAAGTTCATTTCAAACACTTCCAAAGCTCCACCCAAAATACCCATAAAAATCCAAAAATCCAAAACTCTAGAAAAATCCCAAAATTCCAAAAATATTTAAAAATGAAACTATCCATCCCAACGCTTAAAGCAAAATCCATCCACTCTCCGCAGGAGATTATTTGAGAATGGATCCAGTGATATTTTCGACTAGGCATTTGGCTCTTTGTGAGCTGAAGTTATATTTAAATTTGTCCACCTTGGCAAACTTTTACGGAGGGTGGATGGATTTTGCTTTAAGTGTTTGATGATTGATTTTCAATTTTAAATATTTTGGATTTTTGGATTTTGGTATTTTTGTGGAGTTTTGGATTTTGATAGGCATTTAGATATTTGTGAGACATTTGAAAATGTTTGTGAACCCCTCCGGTTTAGATTAGCATTCAACGCGGCCATCATCTGGGTGTTCGGGGTCATTTCTCCTTATTTGATTGAACCTTGTCAACTCGACCAAGCTGTTGATCGAGGATCGGGTTTCTTGTAGGCTTTGTGCCTTTTTCATGAATTTTTTTGTTGAAGGTCTTAAAGGCCTAATATGAATGTATAAGATAAACATTCCGGTCGACTTCGTGACCGCATATTTATCCGATGGTTTGAACCTTGTCTACTCCTATTTACATGCTTAGGAGGATCGGGTTTCATAGGCTTCGTGCTTTTTGTTTAGTGAATTCTTTTGATTGTAGGCCTAGATGGCCTAATATGAATTATTAAAACAAATACACTGGTTGTTACAACCGTGTATTTGTTGAAAGGTTCGAACCCTGTCGACTCCTATAGATCCGTATAAAAGGATCGGGTTTGAACTTGAATATCGACCCGCGCAGCATCTCTAGGCGTCACGTGTGTACCAATAACACGCTCGTCAGGGCCCATGCGGGTGTTTGGGGGCATTTTATAATTATACCCTGTCTACTCCTTTTCATCTGCTTAGGAGGATCGGGTTCAAATTTAATAACCCGCGCAGCTTCCCTAGACTTCACGTGTGTATCAATGACACGCTCGCCGGGGCCCATGCTGGTTAAGATTATATTTTTCCCTTTAGTATACCTACGTGTATACAAGCTACGGTGCATGTGTAGGGGTCATTCTTGAAATATTTGTAAACGCCTTCTGTCCGCTTGCATGAATGTTGCGGATCCGGTGGCGTGGCGTAGCGGCTTCTGAATAAAGTTATTCGCTGCTTCGTACAGGTAGGCTGTCGTGCGCCACTCGTTATTTTCTGTAGGTGGATCGTAGTGCACTAACTAGTCTCCTGCTTTTGTTCGTATGGAGAGTTGCATTTGTTGTAGACATGATCCCTTTATTCATGGTCAGCTCTCTTTACATATAAGTCTTCTATAACCAATCGTAGGCTTTTGCATTTGCGACTGTTCATCTACATTTTCTCGTAGGTAGCATTTAGTGTAGATGATGGGTCTCCTACAACAGTTCATAAGAGATTGATACATTTGCTAGCACGATTAACATAAATGTTGCAATCACTCAATTATGATTCTTCCATGGTTTGCAATGCCTATTTATTTCAACTTATCATCATAATGCACGCCATCACTAATCCACATTGAAGTTTCATTTAGTATAGGCCCCATTATTTGCAAGGCTCAATATGTTCAACTGCATTTGGATCTTATGTTTGTAGCAAATAGGCATGATTGTTTGCATATAAATTGATTTGCTTGAACGATTCGAGATAATTCCACCTCATAATTCCTTGCTTATATATCTCTTGAAGACTTAGTCTTCATTCATTTACTTATCTCTTGGTGAAATTATTTTATGATTTATGACTTTCGCTTCCAAATATTTAGACTTTAGGTTAAGATTTAGATCATTAATTCAAAGTCCAGTTCTGACTTGAGCCTAAGATCAAGTCCAAAATGAGTCGTCTTCATTATCATCTGAAGTGCAAGTTCTCTATTGTTCAAAAGTTTGCAAGTTCTTCCTCACTTGATTCAAGTTTAGGTTCATGAATCTTCTTATGCAGCTCATTTGAGTTCAAGCTCTTTATTCTATTGTTCAAGTCCAAATCAAAGTCCCTTGTAGTCCTTCCAAGTTTGAATTGAGTTCACGCTTCTTTAGTTCAAATTCATGTCCAAACTACAAGTCTTATATTTTTTCAAATCTATTTGAGTTCAAGTTCATTTAAGTTTGAGCTCTATTACATTTAGTTCATTTGAAATTGAGGTCCCTTGTATATGGTTCAATCAAGTTCAAATTATGTTCCAAGGTCCACAAGTCTACTGTTCATTCTCATTTGAGTCCAGGTTCTTTGTTTTTTTGAGTGCAAATCAGGTCCGAGTGTGATCGTACATTCACCCGAAATTTCGGCAGCCTCCCGGCGTCTCCCCTGTTTAGGGGAAAACTACGAAAAAATTGGGCCTCCCGCTTTGCTAGAAAAAAGCGTGTACGGTAGCTGTCCTCTCATGAGGACACCGCAGCCGTGTATTTTTTTGATCCCCCATCACGCTAAGAAAAGCGTGTATGGGTCTTTGGTACACGTTGCAAGAAAAGCATTTATTTTCCCGCAAGTGGGTACTTATGAATATCCCAGTCTTGCCATAGGCGCTGCACCGGGTTCCCATCTCACCACGCTAGAGAAAAGCGTGTGTGAGCGGTTTGCCGGCTCGACACGAACGTTGAGAATAGTATTTTAGGTGATCACCCAATTCGTTGAGATGGTTTGGTCACATAAAAAGGCGGCCTTCCGACGACCCAGTTAAGAGAGTAGAGGTATTAGATTTGACTTGTGTTAAGAAAGGTAGGGGTAGACCTAAAAGACTTGGTTAGAAAATATTAGGAATGACCTTTCTTTATTAGATTTAAACGAGAATTTGGCTTTTAATAGGACACAATGGAGAAAAAGGATTCATGTAGCCGACCCCACGTAGTGGGATAAAAGCTTGATGTTAATTATAATTTAATTATTGTTAATTATAATTAATTAAAAAATTAACATAATTAAACCTAATTTAATTATAATTAATTATAGTAAATAATAATTATAATAAATAAATAATTAAAAAAAATAAAATCCCCCCTTCCACCTCTCGGTTTAAGGGATTTACGGGATTTGGCCACGGAAGAGCGCGTGAGGGGAGAGTTACCTTCACGGCAAGAGCTCCCATTGTTGCTTCGATCAAAATGCCGCAACTTCCAATCCGACAGGGAGAGAACGTTGGAGGGGGAGGCGAAGTCGGCAGCAACGAAGGAGCCGGAGAAGCGACGCCAAAGGGAGAAAGTTCTCTCCTCAGCAAGTGAGCTCCTCTTGTGGCTTCCGATCAAGCTGTCGTAACCTTCGATTCGACAGGTAGGGAACATCGCCGTCGGAGCGTAGTCGAGCAGCCACGGAGGAGCCGAAGATGCGACGAAAAGGGAGAGAGTTTCCTTCACTGCGGGCGACTCCCGTTGCTGGCTCCACTCAAAATGTTGTAACCTCCGATCTGTCTAGGGAGAAGAATCGTCGAAGGGGCAGAGACGTCGTAACGAGAGAGCCGAAGCCTTCCCTCTCTCGTGTATTTAATAAAGCGCGAGTCAAGCGGGATCGTGCGAGCGACGTGGGCGTGGCGCTCGAGCGACGTGCTGAGATCGTGGGATTGCAGGAGCCGGACAGGTGAAAAGATTTGGCCTCTTTTTTTTTTTTTTTTGTACAGGTCAACAATTTATAAGATTTTAAGGGCTAAGAAAAGGCTACATTCCAAAAAGGTATAAAAAGTACAACACTACATAGACTATCCTAGACACGTGTTGCCTATTAGTTGGAGGGACTGTGAGGGATGCAGAGCTTTGATGATCTGCCTTTGGCCGAGCTTAGTAATGTCGAGTATACACTAGGTGAGCTTCGTAGTGTGGGGAAGCTTGATAATGCTGAATAAAAGTGGGCGAGTTTGCGAGCGAGTTTCAAGCAAGGGGTGTTCTTGATAGATGAAAGGCGTTTAGGGGCTATCAGTTACCTATGTTGAGTCTTGGATCGCCTAGAGGAAATGCGAGTGAATTACGCTTCACAGAAGATGAACTTAGTAGTTAGTTGGTCACGGTATGAAAAGTTGAGGAACCTTTGGGCAGGCGCCTTCTTGTAGATGGGCTTGGATGTGCGTAGATGAAGGCAGTTGCCCCTAATACACTTGCAATTTTTTTCCTCATTTGAATTGATCCTTCATTAAGTTTTAACTTTTGGTATCTGGATGGAGAATCCCATGATGGCTACATGCGCATAAGTACATTTTAACTTCTGATATTTGGAAGGAAAAAAATTTCTTATGGAGAACTTTCATATTTTTAAATTACAGGTGAATGGTTGTGAAGTTGCTTTTGTCTCCCTTTTGGCCTGCGAAAATGACTTCAGGTACCAAATATTTGAACTAAAACAACGGGACGAATATAAATTTATTTATGGTATCTAAAACTTAGATATTCTCCACTTCAGAATTTCAGAATCTCTGCCTTGCCTTCACGACAAAGTTCTAGCTGCAGCTGCTGATAGTGCTTTAACACATTATGCTAGTCAGAAAAACAAACAGGTGCAGTCTGCACCCTCACTTCTTTTTTCTTCTTCTATGCATAGAAATTGCACATTGTTCTTACGCGTTTGTGTTTTCTTCTGATGCAATTGCTATTCCAGGATTCATCTCCGAGGATTCTTATTGGTTTGATCAAAGGACTAAAAGGGAGTAGAGCAGAGAGCAATGCAGACACTTCTGATCATACCGTTAAGCCCGGTTTTTGTAAAATAGAGGATTATTTTTTAAAAGATCCCTTTTTAGAACCGTCACTTGTTGCAACTGATCACCAAGAAATTGAACTAAGCATTGGTAAACTCTCCCCTCCTTTTCATCTCCTCTGGTACACACACTCTCACAAACACTTACAATCTATTTGGCTCCCTTGACATTTGCTCAAAGGAGAATAGAGATAGAGTCATTAAAGTAAATAAACCTCTTGTTTTTCCATATTTCTGATTTTTTTTTTCCTAAATGCAGATGATATTGAGATTGATGACAGCCTACCAGTAGCATCTAGTTCATCTAGTGTTTCCAGTTCATCCGATCCAAAGAAACAAAAGAAAAAAGGTGAATTATCAACTTCATGGTAGAAGCTATTAGGCTTTCATTATTTGATGTCTACCTAAATATTTCACGCTGCAGATGAGAATAAGGATAGAGAGAAGTTATTTGATGGAGCAAAAAATGATGCGAAGCCTAGAGTAAGAACTCCTCAAGAAATCTTGACCAAATATAAATTTGGCGGGGTAAAACTTTCTGGAAACTTCCATTTATTTTTAGTTTTATATGTGGCCTTCAAAAACTCATGTTTGTTTTATCCCAGGATGCTGCTGCTGCAGCAGCTCATGCAAAAGATAAACTGGCAGAAAGACAGGAAAAACTAGAGGTATTGCAATGTCTTTTAACTGAATCATGGCTTCGTTTGGGACGGCTTTCTTACTGCTTCTTAAAGCCGCTTTTTAAAATTTTTGTACTAGAAAACGGCTTTAAGAAGCAGTAAGAAAGCCGTCCCAAACGTAACATATATCTCATTTAATTCCCAATGTCTTTCATACAATCACAAATTCTTGGTGAGCCCTGTTTGTTTATATAATGGAGGTTTTCTTCTCTCCCCCATCTTAGTTCAATTTTGCACAAATATGAACCTCCATTATTATTGGTATTGTAATCATTAGGCTTGTTCCTATCAGTCGCATGGAAAGAATTGTCTATTTTAACTACAGCTTTGTTGTATTACAATTAACAAACCCAATAAAATTATTCTTTTATCAGAGGCTTAAGAAAAATACTGAAGAGTTGCAAAGTGGAGCTGAAAATTTCGCTTCATTAGCTAATGAACTTGTGAAGACTATGGAGAACAAGAAATGGTGGAAACTATGACGACAGGAAGATTGGAAATGATTATTATTATTATTATTATTATCATTTAAAATGCTTCTCCGGTGATTAATTTGTACCAATTCCAGCTGCTATGAGCTGTAGCAGAATGCCTCAGGAAGCACTTGATCTAAGGGCTTTTTAGTTGCCAGTAGTTCTTTATGGCTTTGGCTTCAACAACGATTGTAACTTGTAATTTTGTTTTTAATTTATAATTTTTTAAGTTTTTTTCAGATATCTGTATCTAAATTAGAGGGGATATTTAGTGCTTCCTATGATCATCATGTAGAATAAATATCATGATTTTAAAATTGAATAAATATTTTTTAGTAACAATCACATGATGAAATAATTTTGATTTTCGTGGTTTTAACTATTTTTGTTGATGCAGAAACTTCATGATATGTTTTTCATGTAAGTTTTTATATTTAGATTTAATTATGTTAAAATTTAAATGTACTTATTAATATTTAGTGTTCAGTTTTTTTGCTGGAAATTTATTTATTTAATTTTGACCCCATTTTGCATAGTTTATCAATTAAAACTACCCAAAACATATGGATGATGATATCAATAATTTATCATTTGATTTTCAACAATTTAAATGTCTAATTTTGAAGATAACAAATAATAATCATGCAATTAGTTATTTATCGTAAAATTTTAACGAATTTAATTCAATGATCTAATAATTTTTTAAAAAATTTTAATCGTGGCACCTCTAAATTACATTTTTAATAAAATTCTTTTGATTAATGAATATTTATGCATTTATCTTTGATATGTTGGTTGAGAGTTTTGTTTAAATAAGAGGTATTAGGCTTGAGTCTTGTGTTATGCGATGTAGGGGTGTGAGTGAGCCGAGTTGGATCGTGAGCCGGCTCGAGCTCGACTCATTTATAGGCTCATGAGCTGAGTTTATCGAGCTCATGAGTTGATCTCATTTACTAAACGAGCTTGAGTTTGAGCTTGATGAGGTTCGGCTCATGAGCTTGCGACCTAGCTCGAATTAATATTTTAATTATTAATATTTAAAATAGTAAAAGTCTATTATTAATATTTCAAATAAAAATTATATAAAATTTAAAACACTATACCAAAATAATAATGTTGCAGCTTTAATAAAGATATAAATAGTTGTAGCTTTAAACATTATAAAACTTATAAGGCAATAAAATAAACTTTACTTGTACTTGTTGTACATTACAATTTCATCAAAAATGATAACACGTACATTACTTGCACTTGAATATGAATATCATAAACATAAACATGAATTGAACTTTAATATGGGTATCATGAACATTAACATGAACCTTTTTTGAACTTGAACATGCGTGCGCGCGTGTTTATATATATATTTACTCAATTTTTACTTATATCTCCATTTAATAAACTTAACATGGAACATATGAAATATGATAAGCACATATCCCCATACGTGCTTATATCTCCACTTTCACTTATACCTCCATTTGATCATAATAGCCTAATTTCTCTTATAACTCCACTTTCACTTATATCTACACTTGATCATCTAACATCTTTTCCATACAGATGGAGGAAAATTTATACATATACACGTGTGCATAGACTCTTAAAACACCACTTATATTATATAGAACATAATATAACATCCACATAAATGACCTCCCTTCCTCCTCTAGTTGCCATACACATGTAAATATCGATATGTTCAACATATGTATGCAACATTTGACTTGAAAATAAAAATGTGTAAGTTGTCATATGTACAACATTTCATTAGAGAACAAATATAAATTTAAATATATACTCAATTGTGGCAAGTTTGAAAATTATTCATACGGAACATTTATAGCATCATTTTAAAGCATTTAAAAAACTTTGGACAATTCTAGAAGAGTCACATGTTCACAAAAATACTTAAAATAATGTATAGACACTACCTAGTGAAAATATATGTTTATATGTTTAGAATGATCATAATGATTTATTTTGCAACATGTCGATAATTTTTTAGTGAAAAATAAATCAAATTTAATAAAATCACATAAAACTCCAATTCTACTTGTAAAAATATTAAAGTTAAAATCTAAAATCAAATATGAAAAGACTGCCTCGTGCTGGAAAATACTCTCAGCTTGCAATACTAACAGAATCAAATCCATGACATCTAAATTTTAGTTTCTCTTATTTTCTCATCTCCAGTCCCTCGCCAACATTTTTAGCAAATGGGAATGAAGAATGGATAATGAGCTAATGCTTTTGGTTATTTATATAAAAAATCTCAAAATTTGCACATCATCACGGTGCCACTCTCCTAGCACTACTCCACTCCCATTAAATATTCCAAATGCTGTAGATAGAGAACGTAACATCACAGCGCTAGCTTCTAGCACCATAATTCTCTCATATGATCTTAAATTCCTTCCCAAAATATAGAGATCAGGGTCGCAACACTTCTTCTTTCAAACTATAGCTCCCTTAGCTAATTTTCCATAAATAGAGGGCAACAACACTAAAGTGTTGCATCCTACGTAGCGTTTTTATAATTGACATTTTTATGTTTTGTAATTCGACTTCTGACTTCTTTGATTTAATTGAACAAGTCACAAACCCTTAAAAAACATAAAGATAAACATATAATTCTTATCATATTTGGTTAGGTTTATTTCAGGTGGACTTGGTTCTATAGCAGCACTCAATACATTCTTTCTTCTTATAAAAGATGACGACATAAATGCTTAAGCTTTCATACACAACATAGTTCTCTAATGGAAGTTTAATTTGTCTACGATTTGAATCCTATTTAAAACGCAAGTGCATGTTATTGTATCAAGTAATAAAGCAATGAATAGAGTGTCGATCCAAAAAAAAAAACTAGCCTATAATCAATTTACTACCACCTACTAGTTTGGTATATTTATCTAGCGAACTAATAGAAACAATGTTGAAAATTTAAAAGTAAAGAGTTAAAATGCATGAATAAAAGTTTTCTAATTTTCATAACGTTCTAAACATATGAATTCTTAAAAGGAACATCATTTCATTAGAGAGGGTTATTTTTTATAGTTGTTGAGGATCATAACAATTGTGTTCCTCGTCTCTATCAAGCTTGTCGAAATATATTAAAATATCTTCTTATGACCCCATAATTTTAACCACCATATGTTTAGACATAACAAGACTTTGTTCAAAGTTCTTTGATTATTCTTCTAGTCCATTTATCAAGGTTCAAGATCACACTATGTTTTGAATTTATGTAAGGCTCACACATGAATCAACTTTAAGTTTGGAGAAAAAAAAAATAACATGGACACAATAAATATTAAACCCTACTTTAAATAATACATGGCTTTTAATTTATCACATATTCTAAAATGTAGATTAGCAACACATAGAAGCTTTGTAACAAGTAAATTAAACAAAACAAAAAAAAAAACATTATATTATTATAATTGTTTCACAAGTATAAATAAAAGATAAAAATTAAAGCACTAGTTCATAAGAACAACACAATATACAAATTTAACCCAAGAAGCAAAGTTCAGAAATGACTTAGAATCAATTTGACAATCATAGCTAATTTCTTTCATTTGCTCACTCCAGTACAAGACTTTGGTACAAAAAACATAAGCTATACACTCCTTACGTACACTCACATACACTCGCACACACTCTTAACATTACACTACAAATTGATCCCTCCAAGTTGCCAATCTCCTGACATAAGGAATAAGGGAACTTTTTTTTTTTGAACTAGCACTATGGCGTTGGCTTGGTGGCATGCAGTTCTGTTGAACCGGTGCATCAGTTCACCAATGTTCACTTCAGTTTACCAATCCAACCATCCTCCACTGTGGTGCTAGGTGATTTGGCATTACGGCTATTCTTTTTTACACTACGGTGCTGACTGGCTAACCCCTTGGCGTTAAGCTCTCTAGACAATTTTTGGTAAACTCCCAAAAAATAATGCTAAGGGTGTGGCATTGGTATTGAAATGACTTATGTCATTGTTTAAAGTTCATGAAGGTTGTTAAACCTTATGGAACTAGCCCGAAGCTCACCAAGAGGGGAGGTGAATTAGCAGTTTAAAAGATTTTCTTAACTTCAAAATAATAATAACAATATTTTAAAAAAAACTTTTTAGTGATTGAAAATATCAAAATCTAATTGATAGTGAAAGAAATAAATTTTTATCAAAATATTAAATTTTACTATGATGAAATTTTGATCTACAAGACAGAATAACAATGAACATTTTTTTCCAAGTAGTTATTAACAAAAATGAAATATAGGAAATGTAAAAGTGGAAAAAGAAAAATACACATCATATATTTTTATAGTGGTTCGGTCAGCCTTAACCTACATCCAATCCCCATAGTCCTCCGCTCCTAGAATTTACACTAAAACAAAGTGACTCTCATTTTGCTTTCACAGCAAGGCAGAGAAGTCTTTATAGACTCACCAAACCTTTGATGTGGAGGAGTGTCGGATGTTATGTCACCCTGTTAGTGATGGCAGCGGACCTTGACTCATTTTTCTCCTTCCTAGAGAAGGCAGAGAAACTTAACTCCTTTTGCTCTCTCCTAAAGAAGGAAGAGAATCTCAGCTCTTTTAACCCTCCTAGAGTAGGTAGAGAACCTTGATGATCGACTGGACTAAGAAGCTTCTTTCACGAGAGAGCTTCCAAAAGACTCACCAAGGCCATAGGAGGAGTAAGGGTGCAGCTAGTCAGGAGCAACCGTGTGATCCCCTCACACTACTTCTCCCTTACGCTTAAGCTCACCTTTTCCTTCCTCTCTCAAACTCTGATTTTCTTCTCAAAACCTCCTCTCTTAGAATTCCTTCTTCAGTCACACGTTCCTCTCTCTCTTTTTAAAGAGAATCTTAAAACATAGCTTAATTATTAGGCTTCAAGAAATCCTAAAAATTCAAGTTGGCTATCACTATTCATACAGTACGATTAGTTTGAAACTTGTCCAGTCCAGTGCAATATAAAAAATCATTCAAACAAAATGTTTAAATTTTATGAACATATCGTATAGTATGATTAATAAATCGTCCAATATGATCTGTTTTATTTCCTCTATTTATATGGAATGATTCATACGATGATTGAAAATTGTCGTTGCTAATTATCACGTATTACTCTCTTCATATAATATAGTTAGTTTATTTCAAGTAGGTTGTCCATTATGAAACGAATATTATACAATGTGATTAGTTCAAAAATCAAGATTTTGTTTGGTATGATCTTTGGGATGACCAATCTTCATCTATATTAATTATTTAGTATGATCAATATCGTACAGTATGATCAGCTATCATTAGTTAAACCATAATTTAATTGA